ACTCATAGATGTATATGATACAAAATCGAAGACCAGAACACTTAAAGACATTACAAATAAGAATTTTTTTGGGTCCCTTGATTGGATCTCTGCATCCTGGGGGAGGAGCTAAACCCATGCTTTCAGCCAAAGCTAGAGGAGGGACAGTCTGCAGCCAGTGTATGGGACAGATAGCTGCTAATAATGGCCATTTAATAGGTTGATAACATTTCAAATGAGTGACATTCGGCATGAGGCAGTGATGTAAGCGGCCAATAAATGCGCACTCAGGAGGATGCAGCCCCTGAATTAAAACACAGTCTGAGGCTATTCAAAGAGCTACGTACATCAGGTAAGATACTAACTGTTCACAAGCTCTGAAGTTTCCCTGCTCTTTGCTTTTACTGTTGTAAAGAAAAAGATAATGACGCAAAACGTTCTCCTGACGTCACTGACCAAAAGCAAACCTGGCAGAGATAAAAGTGAACCAGTCAAGAAAAAGAAGTAGGTCAGAGTTCAGTCAGAGAAGAAGCTTTGCTCTCTCTCTGTGAAAGGGAGCGGATCTCCTCCTGCCAGGGATCTGTAAAAACCTCTGGTGAGCACATGAGTGGGGCAGGGTGGGTGTGGGCCGTGCTGCTGCAGGCATAGCAGAAGGAGGATGTGCGTGGGGGGCAGGGTTTTTTTCAGGGGTTAAAGGTCACGAGCCTCATGGGCTTCCTTGACCAGGACAGGGACTTGAATGGCGGAGCAAGATGAGCTTAAAAAACTCCTTCTCGTTTGTTAAGTTTCCAGTTTTATATAGAAAGAACCCGGGTTTAAATCTGATGCTAGATATCGACCCAATGCCTTGGGAGGATTTATTTATTTATTTATTTATTTATGTGTGGACATCCTGAGAGCTCGTCCTGCTCCCACCCCCACAAAGAGGAGCAGCAACAACAAAAAGATGCTCTGATTCCACTAAACTTTTAGTTTATTTTATTTTTTTTTAGCTGTAAATGGCTGGACGAGAGGGATGAGCGACATGTAAGGAGGTAAGTCATGATGGGTTCATCCACTGTGATCAAACCTCTCCATTCGGGTCAGTGAAGACGTGGCTCCTCATTATTCAGACTTTAGGTCTGTGAGTTTCAACACGGTTGATTTTTCTTTAGATTTTGGCACAAACTCAGCTTTATGTGTTACAGAGTCACGGTGTGCTTAAACCTTTACATCCCGTCGTAAAGTACCCGAGCGCCTGCAGTGTTTCTATTAATTAACTACGTAATTACGTCGTGGATCCATTTTTTTTAATTGAAGTGACGCACGTGCCTTAATACATATCTGAATGTTGGCGCCACTTTCATAAACTAAGCTCCCTGACTTCATTTATGGACCAAATTTACCTTCAAGTCTTGAGGTAAGACTAATGTAGACAGGGGAAAGAACAAGGTTGTTTATTACTATTTACTAAGCTTCTTTTTTTTAATTATTAAAATAGAGCCTGATAGCTTTTTTAACTCCGCCCTCGTGCGTGCTCAGCACGACGTTTCTGGAAATTTTCCACTGAACCTGCCCATCAAGAGGCACAGAGTCAGAAAGCTCTCATTGTAACAATAAACAATTCAGTTTAAAATCATGAAGAATTTATTCATTTAGTCAAATTAAAAACTTTGCCTTCCTGGCAAGATATAGATCTAACTCCAAAAGTTAATCAGATAAAATGAAGGCCTACATCCATTAAAATATGTGGTTCATGCATTGTTTTCATAAAGGCCCTGTCCCTGTCACACTAGACAACTCATGAAACATTTTTTATATCTGAATTGTTAAGAAAAGTGATATATTTGATCAGTTTGTTCGAATTACATTATGCACATGCCGATAAGAAGTTTTTATTTTCAAACTTTGTTAATTTCTTAAAAAACAAATTTTAATTCTATGTACAATAAAAAAGAAAACACAAATGAAATGAAAGGTGGCAGAGAGAAGAAAATATTATTATTTTATCTGACCCTTTTTGATGTGATAGTGATAACTCTTATAGCTCTTTTCTGCAAAACAAAAACAAGATTTGTAATAGTCTTACATGCTTCCCCCATACCCCAACACAATAGACCGAGTGTGGAACAATTAATGTGTTAGATGACATAAACAGAGCTTTATCATTAAACAAACCACTTACTTTGTAAAACAATGCAATAAATTTAACTATTTTAATTCTTAAATAATTTATGTGAGGTTTCATGACACCCAAAAACTTTACCTCACTGACTCTACTAATCTCCAAACACCATCAACTCTAACTCTGTATTTAAAAATGTTCATAAGTTGGCATTAGTTGTCTAGTGTGACAGGGACTTAACAAAGAGTTGACCACCATTGATAATGTTAATGGTAATTGCTCCATAGAACAACATGCACCAACAGTACATCTGAGGGTGGGGGTGTGGGTGTCAGGGTCTTTATTCCCATCC